TTCTGTCTCTATTGATACTTCCATTTTCTTCATATATCATTTTCTTGATTTTCTCCACATCTTCCTTTAAAATCTCATGGAAGTCACTTCAGCCAGAGCAGGAGGGGCTTACAACAAGCTGGGAGGTGCAACAACAGTGGTTGCTGCCCCTTTGTCAGCAACCTCTGTGAATAGGAGCAGCAATCAGCAATCAGAACACAGATCCCCAGTATTTGGAGGGCTGAGTCCTTTTTGCCACCCTGGCTCCTGCAAGCTGTGTGCAGGCTGCTCCAGGAACATTTACACAGTTGCCTGCTATGTGGCAGGGTTGAGAACGGGTAGCTGCTACTATGCTGAAATTAACAGCAATTTAGCCTCCCAGTCTTCACCTGGAAGTTACAAGCCTTCAACAGACTCTAGAGTTCCAAAATAGTTACATCAGACAACTTCTACCGTCTTCCCAGAGTCCTCGTTGAGTATCTGCTTTTTGTTTGTTGGTTTTTGCGGTACGTGGGTCTCTCACTGCTGTGGCCTCTCCCGTTGCGGAGCACAGGCTCCGGATGCACAGGCTCAGCGGCCACGGCTCACGGGCCCAGCCGCTCCGCGGCATGTGGGATCTTCCCGGACCGGGGCACGAACCCGTGTCCCCCCCTGCATCGGCAGGCGGACTCTCAACCACTGCGCCACCAGGGAAACCCGTATCTGCTTTTTGTTTCATTGCTTTCTCCTCTTTATTTTATTCTTCCAACTTCCTTTAGGTTTTATTTGTTATTTTTCTAGCTCCATGAGATGTGTGCTGTATTAATCTGCTCAGGCTGCCATAACAAAATACTATCTACAGACTGGGCAGCTTAAGCAGCAGAATTTAATTTTCTCATAGTTCTGGAGGCTGGAAGTCCAAGATCAGGATGTCAGCATATTTGGTTTCTGGTGAGGAATCCTTTACTGGCTTACATGCTTGCATAACCTTCTCAGTACGTCCTCACATGGCCTTTCCTTGATACATGCACACACAGAGAGGTATAGAGAGCAACAGCAAGCTCTCTGGTGTCTCTTCTTATAAGCACACCAATCCTACTGTGTCAGGGGCTCATCCTCAGGACCTCATCTAACTTTAATTACTTCCTCAGATGTGGCCCCATGTTCACAGACAGCCACACTGGGGATTAGGGCCTCAAAAGTAATTTTGGGGAGGACACAAACATTCAGTCCATAACAGATGCTGTAGCTGCATTCCACAAATTTTGATATGTCCTGTTTTCATTATCATTCACTTCAAAATATATGGTTTTCCATTTGTGATTTCTTCTTTGACTCATCAGTTATTTATGTGTTGCCTGATTTTCAAACATTGGAAGATTTTCTGGTTACTCTTCTGTTACTGCTTCCTAGTTTCATTCCAGTGTGGTCAGAAACCATACTCTGTGATTTCAATTTGTGCTATTTGTTGAGACCTTTATTGACTAGTTTATGGCAAATTACATACATATTACTACCTTCATTTTATAAAAATGTATATTCTGCAGTTGTTGGGCACAGCATTCTGTGT